TTGCATCGACCGCGTCGGCTGCAGATTCAAACTCCACATATCCAAATCCACGATGCTGCTCGCCCTGGCTTTGGTTTTCTGGCTTGGGAAGGTTCACCTCGACAATGTCGCCAAAGGGCAAGAACGCGTGGAAGAGCGTTTGTTGTGTTACCGCTTGGTCGAGCCCGCCGACGAACACTGTAGCTTTTAGTCGCGAAGTATCAGACAGGTTCGACATGGTTGCCTGTAGCGTGCGATGTGATAGTGGTTCGCAGAGTAGTCGTGTTGTAGAGATTGAGTGGAAATTCGATATCACGTGGCCACTTAGCGGGACCCACATATCGGGCGCCGCCCGCGCGATGGACCAGGGAAGGACAGGTGGATGAATCGCATGGTGAAGCACGTCGTTGCCTCGAATCTCACTCCGCGCTTCTGACACAATTCCGACTCTCCTTTCTCCCACTTCTACGTCTTGTCTCGCTCTGCAAGAAGTTTCCATCAATTCTTTGTTTTGTTGCTTGTCAAATACCCAATTCTCTAGTCTGACGCCATTGAGGTGCAAGCACCACCCACCGTCATGGTCCGTCTACGAGAAGTCCCACGGACGGCTGCTTTTGCCTGGTCGCCTGGTCCAACGCAGCCCCTCATTGCAACTGGAACAAAAGCTGGAGCTGTAGACGCCGACTTCTCCAACGAAACCCAGCTGGAGCTTTGGGAACTTGGCTTGGACGACAGTGAGCAGGGCGTTGAGCTCAAGCCAGTTGCGACTGTAAGCGTAGAATCACGGTACATGGGCAATGGCATCTATAAAACATGGAGTAGCTACTGAACGTTCTTCTAGATTTAACGACATTGCATGGAGTCAACCTAGTGAACAATACCCCCGTGGAGTAATAGCGGGTGCCCTCGATAGCGGGGTATTGATACTATGGGACGCGGAGAAGTTACGAGCAGGCGAAGGGTCAGAGCATTCTCACCTCAGCGAGTGATTACGCAAAGCTGACTTTAAACAGTGACGAAGCCGAGATTGACCAGATCGAGAAGCACACTGGCCCGATCCAAGCGATACAATTCAACCCATTCCGACCGAACATCCTCGCATCCGCAGGCGCCAAAGGTGAACTGTTCATTCACGACATTGACGATGAATCCAAGTCTTTTCGCCTGGGAAAGGCTGGAGCCAACCCCGACGAGTACACCGCGTTAGATTGGAACAAGAAAGTTGCGCACATCCTTGCGACTGGAAGCAGTGGTGGCTTTGTCACTGTTTGGGATGTCAAGTTGAAGAAGGAGAACCTCACACTGAACCATTACGGGCGAAAGACTGTCAGTGCAGTATCATGGGATCCTAATGTGCCCACGAGACTGGCCACTGCCATCCCGACTGATCAGAACCCGCTTGTGCTGGTTTGGGACCTGCGCAACACCAATGCGCCTGAGAAAACCCTACAAGCACATGATCAGGGTGTGCTGTCCCTTTCGTGGTGTGTACAAGACAGCGACCTTCTCCTATCCTGCGGCAAGGACAATAGGACAATCGCTTGGAATCCTCATACTGGAGAGCTGTTGGGTGAATTCCCTGTAGTGACCAACTGGACTTTCCAGACAAGATTCAACCCTGCGAACCCGAACCTCCTCGCAACCGCATCCTTTGACGGAAAGATTGCGATCCAGACATTACAGAACACTACCGCTGCTGCAGACCACAAGAAGGCAGCCACCCAAGCACCCGAGGGAGAGGATTTTTTTGCACAGACACATGCAGAGCCCCAGGGCGCATCGTTCTCGCTCAAGACACCCCCAAAATGGTTGAAGAGGAGAGCAGGTGCGGCTTTTGGCTTTGGCGGAAAGTTGGTACGATTTGGCATCGTTGACAACAAGTCAAAGGTCTCGATTTCGACTTTCGCAGTAGATTCTGAAGTCAGCACAGCCAGCGAAGAGTTCGATAAGGCTTTGCAGGAGGGCAACTTCACTTCAATCTGCGAATCAAAAATCTCAAAGGCAACCAATGAGGAGGAAAAGGCTGACTGGACCGTAATTGAGACGCTAATTTCGGAGAATCCACGCAGTAAACTTATTGAGTATCTCGGCTTCTCTGACAAACAAGAAGAAGAGGCGGAAGAGGAGAAGACGGAAGCCAAGACCAACGGTGATGCGGATGCTAATGCTGATGAAGGTGCCTCGTTCTTCGACAATGCGACCAACGCGGGCAACTTTCTCTCCGACCTTGCGGCTTCTAAGGGCGCGAAGACCAACAACCCCTTCCAAATCTACACCGGCTCAGAGTCAGAGGCTGATACCAAAATCACTCGCAGTCTTATGCTAGGAGATTTCAACGCTGCATTGGACGTTTGTCTTAAGGAAAACCGATTGTCAGATGCTTTCATGATCGCTATCTGCGGTGGTGAGAAATGCATCGCCAAAGCACAAGCTGCATACTTCAAGAAGCAGGCAGACGCGCCAAACTATCTCCGCCTTCTTGCCTCTGTTGTTGGAAAGAACCTATGGGATTTCGTGTACAATGCCGATCTCAAGGACTGGAAGGAAGTCATGGCTACCATCTGCACATTTGCTGACCAAGCTGACTTCCCTGATCTCTGTGAGGCCCTTGGTGATCGTCTCGAAGAAGCCTTCTCAGAGGGAAATGTTTCATGCCGCAAGGATGCATCTTTCTGTTACTTGGCTGGTTCCAAGCTTGAGAAGGTCGTCGTCAACTGGGCGCAGGAATTGCAAGAAAACGAGAAGGCTAGCATTGAGAAGACGGACAGTGACAACAGCTTCTCTATCCACGCGCGATCACTGCAAGAGTTTATTGAAAAGGTCACCGTTTTCCGAAAGGTGACCGACTTCAAGGATACTGAACAGCAAAAGGATGCTGAATGGAAACTTGAGCCTTTGTACGCAAAGTACGTCGAGTACGCTGATATCGCATCCGCCCATGGGCAGTTGTCGATTGCCGAGAAGTACTTGGATCTACTCCCTGAAAAGTACCCAGCAGCAGATGTGGCGAGGAATCGTGTCAAGCAAGCGACAAGGAAGGCCACAAACCAACCAGCAAGCGCTCATAGGCCAACTCAGTCTACTGCCAGCGGACGACGCCAGGTTGTGGTTCCTTCGTATGGTCAACCTGCTCAAGCAACACCAGTACCACCTCAACAGACACCATACGCTCCAACCAACCCACTCCAGACACAACCGGGAGCATCGCCTTACGCTCCAATCAATCCTTTATCGCAGCAAGCTCAGGCTGCCGTGCGATCACCGTATGCGCCAGCAGGCGTAGCGTCCGGTAATGCCTACACTCCTGCTGGCTATCAGCCATCTCAGCCGTCTGTATCCCAACCAAGTTACGGCGGCTTCAACCAGACCCCCCAGCAAAACCCAATCGCGCCTCCGCCACGCAACTTCTCCAACTCTCCATCCATTGTACCTGCAGCCAACAGAGGCCATATTCCAGCATGGAACGACACGCCAGACTTTGGCCCGCCAAAGCCAGCGTCACGCCGCAGTACTCCAATGAACGCTGTAGCCTCTCCATTCCCCAACCAGCAACAGCCAATGGCAGGTCCGCCGCAAGGTCCATTCTCCCCTGGAGCAAGGTCAACGCCACCCCCGCCACCAAAGGGTCCTCCATCTGGTCCTCCACGAGCAGGCACTCCAAGCCAATACGCCCCATCACCGGCAGCTAGTACGTATGCTCCTCCACCACCTGCTGGTTTTGCGTCACCACCGCAAGCACCAGTACAGCGTGGAGCATCGCCATACACACCTCCAACGGCCGCCGCACCACCCTCGAACCGCTATGCTCCCGCCCCAGGATCGCAGCCATCGGCTCCGCCAGGACCAATGGCTGGCATGCCTCCACCGCGCAACATTGCACCACCACCAGGTCAATTTACCCCCGCTGCATCGCCTTACGCACCTTCACCCGTCCAGCAAACGCCTCCTGCAGCCGCAGCTCCCCCACCAAGAGGCCCGCCACAAGGTCCTCCACGAGCTGGACCTCCTCAAGGAGGCCCTCCAAGACCTGACTCTCAGCCTAGAACTGAACAATCTCAAAGTACTGCCCCAGTAGCGGCCAAGCATCGTAAGTGATTTTTTTAAACCCACCACAATGCACCCGCTCTGCTCAATCAGACTATGCCTACAGTTGAGTGCTTTTTACTAATTTTCAAAAGCTTCTGGTGATCGATCACACATACCCGATGAATCTCGGCCAATCTATGAGATTCTCGATGCAGAGCTTCAGCGCGTCAAGAGCAAGGCCCCTGCTCAGTATAGGCAACACGTTGCCGACACTGAGAAGAGGCTCAACATCTTGTTTGACCACCTTAACAACCAAGATCTTCTCAAGCCGGACACGATTCAGCAGATGAATGAATTGGCGGCCAACATCCAAGCCAAGCAATTTGACACGGCCATTGCCATATTCTCGGAGCTGATGACCAACAAGACCGATGAGGGCAGCAACTGGATGGTAAGTTGAATACCAGAAATTGGGGATTTGAAAACATGTACTAATTTTGGAACAGGTTGGTGTCAAGCGCTTGATTCAATTCAGCAAGTCGACTGCTTAGGGAGGTTACGCTGCTGCAAAGCTCGAAACTGTCCCTGAAGAGTCCATTATGGCATACGAGTAGTATGGAGCATGAAGGTCGAGATGATTGAAGAGGTTTTGCGTGCCAAAATCATGTATGTGATAGAGGATATGCAATATGTATTGAGTTATTGTCAGTGTGAGTTTGATTGAGGTACTGGTGACGAATGTGAAGAATAGAGGCAGTCTTGAGTATATGGTGTAAATCAGACTTTACAATTGTTTGAGTGCCTGTAAACAAGGTGCATGGTCCAAAACTAGGGGATGGTGTTCGAAAATAGAAGTGGTGATAGGGTTTTGCGTGCTGGGTGAAGTGAAGAGGGGCGGTCCCCCCATGTCCCACCTGTAGATGCCAAGATGCGGCCATTCGCGCTACTACGGGGAAGTGCACTAAGAATCTCTCGAATCTCCGCAATTGCAGTTCAACACCACAACACAGCAGACATGGTGCACATATTAAGTCGCATGCGCAAGTTGCGCGAGGTGAGCAATCTACTTTTACAATTGCCTTCTGGTCATTGAATAGGGCTGACGAATATTACAGAAGGTATGTTGATTTCTGCCACATGCACCTCCGAAAGCGCCGCCCGCAGCCCGACGTCCAAGGTTGAAATGTATGAAAAATTACAACAGATGGCTGATGGCGCTACTCACAGTTGCTATGGATAAGATGTGGGCCTGGCGCTCTTATATTACCGAAGGAGGTATCCAAGATTAGCATGGAGTTCAATACGAAGATTTATGGAGGCCACCGAGGGGCAAGGTATGTTCGAAATTATCTTCAAAATGGCCCAGACGATAAGATCTGTCGATTGGAACAAGGCGACGCCGCATACTGAGACTGAGAACAGGAAATTCTGGCGTGAGATGCTACCCCGAATAAAATACCGAAACCCATCCGTTCCAATTCAAATTTCACGGCACAACGACGCAGATGGACCAGCGCTCCTCCATATCTACACGGCTTCGAAAACCCAACCCGCAGCTGGTACTACCAACGCACCTGTAGCACAACAACCAGAATCTACACCGCCGTCAGGCACACCAAATGCACGCAATAGTCTCGTTCCTGATACCTCGAAGCCCACCTATACGATCAATATCAAAGACCAGTTGGAGAGTGAGATTTTAGAGGCGCTAGTTGCGCAGACTGGTGCGCAGGAAATTAAGCCGACAGAGCAGGAGTTGGCAGAGATGCGGGAGATTGCCGAGTTCAAGGAGAGGAGCGAAGCAGACAGAGTGCAGGTCAGGGAGAGGTTAATGAAGGAGCGCAGAGAGGCTGAGCTGCTCAAGTTGGCGAGAGGAGAGGTACCAACGGCAAACTAGGCGTTTCGACATGACTGGGGAAATGTGCCGTTTTGAACAAAGGAGAAACATGTGGAATAGATGGACGACATTGGCACAGCGTCTGCGTTGCATTCGACTGGCTCTGTAGCTGAATTATTGTATAACATGTACATTTTCAAAGACATCGGCATAAGATGAGTCGAAGACATGCACTTCAAATTGCAAGCAGCAAGCCCTTGGCATCTCGTCGCAAAGCCGTGAAACTACGCCCCATTCTGCATTCTGCATCATGCAACGAACTGCATTGCATATGACGCCATTGTTTATAAACATGCAATCAAGGTCGCGTGAGAAGAGCGCGAAAGCGAAGTTGTCGAGATGACCGATGCTCAAGATATCACACACACAAAGTCGCGCTAGAAGCAAAGCTGCAATACTCAGCATAACGAGGATATGTAGCCGACTGGGTTAGTCCCAAGCATCAACGGCCGACGGCCTAGCAAAAGGGAGACGGAATCAGTCTGCCTGACAGACAACCATACACCGAGCTCGAACCTTGCGGTGAGCTCAGGCTGCCGGAAGCTGCCAAAGTTGTTCTCCGCTCCTGTCGTCCGAAACAATCTACCGGGAAGAAGATGGCTCCATGATGGACGAGCTGTCAGCATCTGCAACCGATACACACTGCCGCAGAGAGCAAGCCCTCTGGGCGGTGGATGGGAGATTCTGACACAGGGCGTTGGTGGAGAGAACAAAGGCTGAGGCCGACGAACTTTTTTTATGCGATTCGGCTAATCGTCGGCGCGCCGTCCGTGCTAGCGCCTTGGCGCGAAACTGTTGCTTCGGAGGTGCCATGTTGCCCGCAGCCTACCCACACCCATCCAACGCCCAACTCTCACTATCTTATGCATCGAGAAGAGCGCATTCATCTTCCTCGGGTAGCTGCTTGTTTGTTCAAAGCGGTCACACTACTTCTTCTCTGTACCCTGCCTGCGACACTATCCGACTGGCGGCATCCTGCCTTCTGGTAACGCGACTCACTGATTCGACCGTCTTCCTGCAACCACATCCACCATGGTCGACCTGTCCATCGATGAGGCGAACAAGATTCGCCTGTCTATGGGCCTTCCTGCCCTTCCAGGTGGAAGTGCTTCCACAGCACCCGCAGCGCCCTCTGGTCTCGATTTCAAGCCTGCCAAAGATGACGACGACTCGGATGGAGAGCCTGCAAGCACCATCGATACGCGTCAGGCCGCTGCCTCGGATAATTGGAAGAAACTTGAGCAAGAAAGATTGGCCAAGATCAGGCGCGAGGAGCGCGCCGCTGCAATTAAGAAAGAACGCGAGAGGGCGTCGCGATTTACAAAACTCGAAGGTAAGGGACTGGCGGACGAAGCCGACGTTGACGATGACTTGGCCTGGCTGAAGAGCAGCAAGAAGCGCCAAAAGAAGATTGCCAAGGAGGAGCAGATGCGCAAGGAGCTTGAGGAGCGCGAGCGTCAGGCGCTTGAGGCCATTCAGTATACCGATAAAGACCTTGCGGGTGTCAAAGTGGGACATGAGCTTGACGAGTTCGACGACGAGGACCAGATTTTAGTGCTCAAGGACACTGCAGTCGATGCCGAAGACGAAGATGAGCTCGAGGCGGTTGCGCTAAGGGAGAAGGAGCGGTTACAAGAGCGACTTGATTCAAAGAAGCGAAAGCGCGTTTACGACCCCAACGATATGGACGAGTCGGGCCAAAAGTCGATTTTGGCACAATACGACGAGGAAATCGACGGCAAGAAGAGCAAGGCCTTCACACTAGATGGCAAGGGCCGGACTGTCGAGGCCATCCAGGCTGAGGCTGAAGGTGTTGCAAAGCCAAAGAAGGTCGCCATCAGTCTAGACATACTCAAAGAAGATGCGCCTGCAAACGACTACATGGATGTTTCGGAGGTCAAAATGAAGAAGCCTAAAAAAAAGAAGAGCAAGAAGTCCAAGCGGGAACGTGTCGAAGACGAGGACGAAATGTTCGCCATGCCTATAGGGGAGCCTGCAGCCGACGACATGGAAGTTGATGGCGGAGAAGCCACCGCACCACAACAGAAGAAGAAGAAGGTTTTCGACGAATCCTTCATAGACGATGATGATCTTCAGGCAAACCTGGCGGCCCAGCGTCAAAAGGCCCTCAAAAAGCGCAAGAAGATGCGACCGGAAGACTTGGCACGACAACTACGTGAAGAAGCCACCACCCCACAGCCTGACGTCCTTGAATCTACCGAAGACGGAGATGTCGGATTAGTCATTGACGAGACAACCGAGTTTGTTCAAAATCTGGGTGCAGCTGGTGATGATGAAGACGAAGCACGCCGGAAACGTAGAAAGTCGAGCCACATCTCCGAAGGCACCAAGTCAATGGGTGATATTCCAGTCGCTGATGAAGATGGCGATGTAGAGATGGGCCAATCATATGCTGAAGCAGCCGAAGCAGAAGACGCAAGGAACCGCAGCGTCTCACGTGCTCTTTCCACAGAAATTACCGAAACAGGTCTCGAGGCTGAGAAGACTGTTGACCAAGGTCTAGGTGCCACGCTTGCACTGCTCAAGCAACGAGGACTAGTCACCGAGTCTGACGCTGGTGAAAAGAATGCCTTGTACCGTGAACGCCAGAAGTTCATGGCGGACAAGGCCAAGGCGGAGGCGGAAGCCGAACGTCAACGCAAGATTGTTCGTGAGCGTGAGCGAAATTCCGCCCGCTGGAATAACATGACGCCTCGCGAGCGCGAAGAATGGGCCCGCAAGAACAACACCAGCGCCGACATGGTCGAAAGCCGTCGTCTCGCCGAGCTTTTTAACAAGGAGTACACACCAAACATTGAGCTCAAGTATGTTGATGAGCACGGTCGTCAAATGAACCAGAAAGAGGCGTTCAAGCAGCTCAGTCACCAATTCCACGGCAAGGGCAGCGGTAACACCAAGACGAAGAAGCACCTTGAGAAGGTGGCGGCCGAGAAGAAGAAGATGGCCGAGAGTTCGCTCGATTCCAGTCGAAGCGGAGGCGGTGGTTTGGGTAACGCGTTTGACGACCAGGCCAAGAAAAAGGGTACGGCTGGTGTCCGCTTGCAGTAAACTCACCCGAGTCGCAATTTGCGCTTCGAGACACACAAAGGTCAGTAGCTCTCGAAAGCTGTATTTTGTTTTAGAAACTTGATCATTAATGCAAGATTGGTTATAGAGGGGTTTTTCCTCTTCTTCGAAAGTGATGACGGTATGATACCTATAGTTTTTGCATTGAGACTGATTTACAGGGTATCTGTTAACTCGCGCTGGACCTCGGACAGACGATGGTCGGCCATGTTGTAAGTTTTATCAAATGCATTATGGTAAGTAAATGATCAGCATTGGTACTTGATGTACAGGTGAGTTCTTGCTCAGTGATGTAACATACATGAGGTATCCAGCGTCTTGAAAGCAAGAAGTATCACGATTACTGGGACGTACTCAAGCTCTTCTGACACGATCGAGCTTGCCGATATGCAGGGCAAGCTGGGTCGATATGCCTGGATGTCATGATCCCTCCAAGTGTTGCTTGTGTGCTCATCTCAAAGGCTACAATCAGACATAAGCTCATACAACAGCATTTCAAGTAGATGTACAGAAACGTGAATATAAATTCTTACTTTAGACCATTGTTTCATTTCAGACCCACATGTACGTCTGCAATTCTTGCAATCGACATATCCAGTCTAAGAGAGAAGAGGGTATTTTTTTTTAAAAAAAAATACATAAAAGAGAGCCGCAATCATGAAGATTGAAAAATGAAAGCCCTATCATGACACACATCAAACCATTCCCTAGTCTGGTTCCCGAAAGAAAGAAAGAAAAAAAAACGCCTATACATGCACATACATACATTTCTTTACATCCTCCCACACCCCCAATCATCCAATATTAACACCCCCGCCCACCAGCTACTCATAAACGCCCATGGCCTCCCCCGCCCTCTTCTCAACATAATACCCTGGATCCGGCCTCCTCGCCTGGCGCATCTCCTCCTTAGTCATAGGCGCGGCCACCTCCTTGACGTCGACCAATTCTTTTATGCGCATGATCTGGCCCGCGACGGATTGCGAGACGGGGTGGTAGACGGTTGTCATGCGCTTGCGCAGGCCGAGGGCTTTGAGCACGCCTTGGGTTTTGGCGGGCATGCCGATGCCGGAGCGCATCAGGGTTATGCGGAAGTATGACATTTTCTTTTTTTCTTTTTGTATGCGCGCCCTGCCCTCCTGCGAGGTTGAGTGGTTTCAGCGCGTTTAAAGATGGTTTGGTGTGGTGAGGTTTCGTGTGTCGGAGGGTTTGTTGGGTTGGGCGGGCGGTGGAGGAAAAGAAGGACGCTGAGGAGGTGTTAGAGGAAAGGAGGGGGGGAAGTTGGTGTCAATTGATGGCTTCGGTGTTGCTTCGTACAGTTGGTGGTTATGTTGTGGCGCTCAAAAAGCTCGTTTGCAGACTTGCAATCGTCGTTGTCGTGGGCTTTTCCGACGAAAGAGTGATGGAGGTGCTACTAGTCCCAGGATGGTTTAGGGCACATGGCAGCCAAACGCCGGCTGACCATTCCATGCTCGTAACCTTTACTCCGTTACTCACATGAAGACTGCTCAGAATTATCACTTTTATAATTATGGAAGAGTCTTTCAATTGAGATCTCATGATAGGTGAGTAGTGGTGGTTACATGTCGACAATCACATTTAACGGTCTACTATGCAATCTGCCTTCCTTCCGTGTTGCTGAACAGATTGCTGCGAATGCCCGCTTCTATAACGTGTCTCATAGCAGTACATTCATTAATTTACTCGGAAGGCAGCTAGCTTCCGCTTCTATGAGGCAGAGGCGGTTAGCCTACGGTTATGTTGCGGAGAAGCACTTTTGCTTTTCCCCTGCTGCATGCGTCAACTCGTTTGTTAACACAGTACCGACTCTATGGGTTCTGCGAAACGACACAGCGGCAGCATGCCTTGATAGCTTAACATAGCTTGAGGGGCAAGATTGTTCTGCCATTCTCCAGCTGTGCGATTATTGCAGTTCGACGTAGTAATAGTAGTAGGTTTGGATTTCTTGTCTGCATGCGGTATGATGTTATTATCTGCAGGTTTCCAAGCATGTACTCTGTTTAACAATTTGAGCGGCTTGTTATTCAGCATACATTTATCTAATAACTCGCTTATTTTCCTAGTGTATACAGGTTTCTCGTCCCTTTCGTCGTCTTTGAGATGATGTGTTTTCCACTAGTCGGCTACTGTCCCGACTTTTCAAACGAACCGTCTTGCGGAGATTTTACCCGTCTGCATGCAGTTACCCAGTCATTTACGCACTAGGCGAACGAAGCAAAACAGGTTAGAATGTACGTTTTTCCAAAAGACTACGGAAAGACCCACGAGGCTCAGCTAGCTTACGTGCAAGCACCAAATGGGTAGCCCAGTCGCGGCACCGGCCCATCCTTTCCAGTGGGCTCAAGCCACTCCCAGTAGCCTGGGTCGGCACTGCAGAATGGTCCCGCGGTACAAATATGGTCATCTCTTTGTTGAAGTCTCGGGAAGTCAACAACTCGAGCAGGAGAAAGCAACACTGTGCATCTCCGCTCGGGAAATGGAAGACAACATTGCCAGCAAAGTATTGACCTGCCTGGAT